GACAGTGAGACACGTCTGCTCCTGGCAGCACCAATCTACTTCAAGAGGAAGATGGGCATTGAAGAGGCCCCTTATGAAGTTTGATAGCCATTTGGGCAAGAAACTGCTCTTGCCTGGGCTGTTTAACTGGACATGCAGGACCCACAGAGAAATGACTGCTGAACTTGCCTAAAGATGAGATGGTCTTTCGAGGTTCCTGATTCATGAAAGAGTCTACGAGACATTCTGCAGGACACAAAAGAAAGTGACTGAACTGTCTTTGAAATTTCCTGCTTCATGGAAATGTCTGCTGGATACTATGGGCCTGAAGGCCAAAGATGGATGCCCCAACGGTACAAAAGAACTTTGGGTGACTGTCCAGACAGCAAGATGTCTCTGTCATTTCTAGAGTTTTGAAAGTTGCTTATTTCTTGTTTACTTAGGTAATATATCCTTCTGGAGTCTTTGATGTAGTTGAAGAATGGTTAGTTATAGTTATAGTTTTCCTTAGTTATGATAAAGATAAAATAGATATAAATATTGTGACTATAATTCTTGATTTATAACTGTTTTGTTATATGTAATTTTACTATGTTAAAGTGAAGGCCTTTCTTTTTTGTTTAAACAGAAAAAGGGGAAATGATGTAGGTGGGCCTTCTGTCTATGTGAGGCCCCTCGCAGTAGGACCAGGACCTGTTCCTGATGTATGAGCTGGCTCTTTGGAACCTATTTCCTATGGTGGGATGCCTTGTTCAGCCTGGAAGCAGAGAGGAGGAGCTTGGTCCTACCTCAGCTTGATGTGCCTGCCATGCTTTGTTGATTCCCATGAGAAGCCTTATCCCATAAGTGGAGAAGGAGGAAGGGTGGATGGGGGGAGGGTAAGAAGGAGGTGGGGAGAGAGAATGGGAGGAAAAACTGTGGTTAACATGTAAAGTAAATTAAAAAAAATGAAAAAAACTGAATATCACTATAAATGTTGATTGCAACATGTGGATATTGTTTGATAAACAATGATGTTTGTAATTCTATGTGTTATCGGGATCATCTGGGGTCAGTGACATAATCCCATGTAAAAATCCATTAAAGATTTCTTTAAAGTATCCCTCATTCCTTCCCAATTTGATGCTTTATGTGCTGTTCAATAAAAGAGCAAAGTACTTTAATAGGAGAGACACAGGAACAAATCCACAAGATTGCCTTCAGGCAGTGCAGATTCTGTCTCACACAGAAGGACATGGAATGTGCTCAAAGGACTGCATGATACCACTAAAAACAGAACAACTTCTCCTTGTTTCAGGCTGACTCAATGAGTCATTGATCAAATTATTATTAAAATAGAATGTATAAAGCCATGTAGTATTACTGCGATGATCTGAGAAAGACTCAGAATTCTATGATGTTCGAGTGCCTGTTCTAAATTTTGACTATTTTTCCCACAGCTTTTCTCTTTATTCCTAATCATGCTTTATGCATTAATTGTGTAGGATTCCCTTATACTGTAATCACATACATTTGTATACATGAGATTATGTGTGTGAGATCATCAACTATAAATAAACACACAAACACAAGTAAATAAGTTAAACTTTAAAATTTAGAATATAGAACCTAGGTTGGACTTCAGGAAGTAAAGGTGAATTATGCTAAGTTTCTGTAACTCTCACAAAAGGGAATTGTCGACTGGGTTTTTATTAATCTCGCTGTTGTTTCCAGTTCAAATAGAGTTTCTCTGAAGTCAGTAGCATGTTGAAAATTTTGTATCTTTCTACAATATGAGAACCACATCTCAGAAATCTGCCATTACCGTAGTTCTTCAGAGTGGTTTTCTTGAGCATTCTAAACTGGGCCAAACTAGTTCTCCTTCTAAGAGTAAAACAAGATCAGCTCATGGCTGGATGTAGTACATGCAACCCTTGGTCAAGCCTGATGTTTACAGCTGACATTAAGAAGTGCAATTTCAATGAAGGAAGAAAAAACCCTAATGTAATATATACACTAATGAAAGAATTAAAACTGCTTGTCTTTCAAAGAAGTTAAATTTCTTTTCCAAATAATTATACAGTAACATTCAAATATGGTTTATAGTCAGGTCCCACGACTTGTTTCACAAGGTTAGAGTTAGTGTGGATCAAAGCAGAAGTCTTAGTAAGCTATGAACATGCTAAATGACTCTGCAAAATATATTTCTGAATTGTTTCATTAAATATAAATTGAGAACATGGGAAACTCTGCCAGGCTGTCGAAGAAGAAGAAGAAGGAGGAGGAGGAGCAGGAGGGGGAGGAGGAGGAGGAGGAGGAGGAGGAGGAGGAAGAGGAGGAGGAGGAAGAAGAAGAAGAAGAAGAAGAAGAAGAAGAAGAAGAAGAAGAAGA